TATCAACAAAGCTTTGACTTGCTGCCAAGTCTGTGGCCTTTCAGATGAGATCTAGTCAATTAAACTTCCATGCACCCTGCTTTGGGGATTACAACACTGCTGAGGTGAGAGGCTCTTTTCTCTAGAACAGTGACAATTTGGGAGGCCTCTAGCTTCCTGTTCTTGAGACTGGGCAAGGTTCAGTCACCCGAGCAGTGCAGCTCTCAATGTTTATACATTTCACTTTTCTGCTTGTGGGCAGGCACAGCAGGGAAAGATTAATATATGTATCTGTGATTGAAAACAGAACCAGAAGTGTTGCGTTATAAACCCATTTTAGCCACAGAGCTAAACCTTGCTCCACTGGCTCATGGGATGTTGCCACTGATTCAATTGGAATCAAACTAGGCTTCAGTGGGCCCACGCGCATGAGCGTGTCTACACTGTACCTCCAAACTGACTATTTTGCAAGTTAATATAATATAAATAAAAATAATTTATGGAGATATACCTATCTCCTAGAACTGGAAGGGACCCTGAAAGGTCATCAAGTCCAGCCCCCTGCCTTCACTAGCAGAACCAAGTACTGCTTTTGCCCCAGATCCCTAAGTGGCCCCCTCAAGGATTGAACTCTCAACCCTGGGTTTAGCAGGCCAATGCTCAAACCACTGAGCTATCCCTCCCCCAAGGTACAAGAAGCATGTCAAGGGCAGATAAAGAAATTGTTTATCCTTGCTATTACATTAGCTCAACCTTCCCGACTGGAGTTGCTAGATGTCTAGACCACTCCTCACATTGGAAAGGTTATGGGCGAAGATCACCTGTTGGAGAGCAAGACCATGCTCTGGTAAACTTGGGACATGTCACTTTCTAAACATGCAGCCTCTGCCTTTCTCTGTGACTTTGTCCTTTTTCTCCATACTCCTGTAATGTCTGAGCAGACCTCAGAATAACTTGAGTTCATTACAAACCAATATTTAAATGTGTTCAAAATTGCCCCTTGTACAGGCCCAGTTGCTTTTTCTAGTTTTCACATGCGCATAGAAATAAGTAGTGAGGTATACTCCATCTATCTAAACTAAGCCTGATGCTAAGGGCTTCATCTGTCCTTTCCTTGGAATAGACATTTTATACGTTCTGTACAACTTCAGCCTCGTGGGTTAACTAACTTAATTTGTGTTTTGGAAGCATGTTGTATTAAGAGACAAAATCAACAGTAAAGTCAATTGGTTCCAGTACTAATGTTTATCTTTGTTTCTAGGTTGTTGGCAAGAATATTAGAGCGAGATTATTTTTACATAGCAAAGGTACAGTTTACTATTTAAGAAACATGAATATATTGTATTGGATAGTCACCTCAGTCTCTAGATATTGATGATAAATTAATGAGAACAGTTACATAATTTTTGTAATAATCCCTTTTGTTGGTTCTTGCATGCCAAAGCAGTGGTTTTCAACCTGGGGTGGTCCACAGACTGTTTAAGGTTTCCAAAGGGGTTCACACCTCAAATAAAAAATGTTTAGGGGTCCGTAAATGAAAAAGATAGAAAACCACTGTGCTAGAGCTAAAGGGGTCTGGCAGGAGCCCAGCTCAGCTGTTTAAGGGCTGGATGACACATTGCATGCAAGGTTTTAGCTTGGCTTCCTACGGTTTCTAGTTTATACATATTTTACCAAGATTGATTTTGATTATGGAAACCATGTTCTATTGTATCTTGCATAATTATGCTGTTCAACCATGTCTAGGTTTTAAAAGGGACAGAGGAAGCTGCATTTCCAATTCATCCTCAGTATATGGATATATTTAATGACACCTCCATCCACTGGTTTCCTTTACAAAAACTCAAGGAGCTCCCACCAGAAGCCTGGCAGTTTCAGGAAGAGCCCGTGTACCCGGAATGTGATGACCTGGAGATTATCAGGAAATAGGACAAATGGAGTTGTTTCATGCTTTAAATGGAACCTTTAATTACTCCCTGGAGTTTGTGCCTGTTTTTACAGGGCTACATTCACTTACAGTAAGGGGATGTTAAGCTCACTTACCACAACTATCAATATAAAGTGGGGGCTGGCTAACATATTTAGCCAGAAATCTTGAAGGCAGCAGCAGTGTCTGCAAACAGAGCTTAATGCGACAGGTTTTTCTCAGAGGTAGTGATTTTTTTTTTAATCTGTACCTTAGCTTACACTATTTATTATTCACTAAATAAAGTCATACTAGTTCTTTTTCCATTTTGCTGAACACTTGTATCTTGTGCTTTAAAAAGTGACTGTGTTGAACTGACCAGTTCCTAGAAGCCTGGGCCTGCTTTCTGTAACCTCCCAGATCAAGGCTGGCCTTCAGCGAGGTAGAAGTTTAGATCTGTATTTTATATCAGCAAGTTATTCTCAGTTGTGTCTGACCCGCTACAGAACAGAGAGAATGAGATGCTCTCTCTCAAGGATTTGAGAGGTTAAGGGGTTCTCAACCACAGCTAAAAATACTGCATCAAGAAGCCATGGCCTCCAGGGGGGCTTTCCCTGTGCACTGCTATGGAAAGTCAGCTACTGACTGCATTCTTGCATGATGATCCAGATCTTGAGTACCTCTAGACAGGAAGAGTCGGGCCTTAAACAACTCATCACTAATACGTACAGAGATACTGAGCAAGTTCTTCCAGGCAGATGTCCTCTAAGTTTGTTGAAGCATCACCACCCACCCACGCTGAGGCCTGTGTTTGACATTACCTATCATAAGGCTTTGCCTGTAGGATTCCAGTGCAAGGGTGAAGCTAAAACCAGAAAGAAATGCCGAATTACCCACACATTGAATTGGCATTCAGGAAGCATGATTTCATCAGCCAAGCAAGTTGCACAAACATTTTTCGTGAGGGTTTTAGCGGTGCAGGTGTTGCCTCATGGGAAATTGTTAGGTGAGAAATTAATACATTTTTGCATAGCTGATATGATTGCTAATCTAGTTTAAAGGGTGACAACTGCTTGTCTCTCTCACTCAACAGCACCTTTTAAACGCTAACTTTACCGTGCGCTGTCTGAACAGCACTCTTAAAAATCCTACAGAGCTGAAAATCCATCAGATCTACGAAGTCAAGTCACCTCTTTATTGTAAGACAGTCACACTAAACAGCTGTTAGCATGGGGATCTTGACAATACTTACTATGTACAATGCTCCTGGCACAGAGCAGGATCCTTATTTAGCCATATCAATGAGACTCTGAAGAGAGGTTGGCACCCACGTCTTTTCTCCTTGTACAAACACAACGCCCCTGTCAATGTAAATCACAATTCGTCCAAATGTGTACAATTGTTTTCCTTCATGCCGCTTCCCGATCACAGGCATGAAGACGATATTGTGTTCTTCTGCTTTTGTTTGAATGAGGTCCTTAAAATTCATTGGCACAGAGCTAGCAGCCATGCCTATGCCCCGTTGGGCCATGTTCTCAGCCTCTCGCCGCTCCTGCATAGCTTCATACTGGAAGTCTTTCCTCCGCTCTGTGTGAGTGAGATAGGCAATGTTTTCCCGAGCACCTGGTTGCATGTAGCCACCTGTTTGGGAAAGAGTGAAACAGGTGAAGACAAGGTTCCAATCCATTTTTGAACAGGATACAGTGATGAACGTAAATGCTGAATGTCAGGGGTGCAGCATACACCTAGCCCAGTGGGACAGAGTCCGGGGGGGAGTCTTAAATGCTATTGTACATCTTTTACAGTATTTGATGCTAAAGAGATAGCAGGATATTCAGGCAAAACATTCTCTGAATCAATTCTATTGAACTATGACAAATGGCAGGATTTAAAACAATCCTTTGTCACTGAATCTCACCAGAGTGTCTAGAACAGGTTGGACAGGGACGCTTGGAGGAAGTTGCTCCACTGCAATGCCATTAGAAACGGAGGGAAATCTGGGCAAACATGCCATGCTCCATCCAAACCCAAGCCCCTGCAATCAGACCAGCTGTCTACTAGCAGGTTAGACAGAGTGACTGCTGAGAAGCCAGGCAGTTCAGTAGCCGTAAAGAGCTCAACATCAATCAGCAACTCCACACACAAAGAGAGGCTTTACGTCACTTGGTGGCTGTTCTGAGTACCATTCTAGGAGTGTCTCAGAGGAGGTGAATTCCCAGTATGGTACAGTGTACGCCTATAGCTGTGTATCTGGTTCATCATTTTACTATAGGAATATAAAGCAGCCTTCAAGACTGACTCTGGACTACCTTCTGTACTGTGCCATGGGCCCACAGGACTATACAACAAAACTTTAAAAGAAGCAGGGTAAGATGTTGATTCACTGCTGGGGCAGGACACACAAAACAGGGAAGTGGGTTTCAGAGACACTTTATTCTTCTCTTAAGTTTTGCACCTTTTATGTGTTTAGTTCTCCCCACACAATCCTGTCAGCTGCTAACTAGCTGTACTAATTCCCAACAGTGCTTCCTCCTGGACACTTCCATAGTGCTGGGAAGAAGCACCAGTGTTCACCACAAAGCAAAGATCACAAACTGTAGCTTTAGAAACCAAGTATTTGAACAATGGCCCCTCAGGGATGGTGTCCCTGGCCCCTGTTTGCCAGAAGCTGGGAATGGGATGGATCACTTGATGATTCCCTGTTCTGTTCATTCCCTCTGAAGCACCTGGCATTGGCCACTGTCAGAAGAGAGGATACTGGGCTAGATGGGCCTTTAGTCTGACCCAGCATGTCCGTTCTTATGTTAATCACTGACATATAAACACACAGATACAAGACACTTAACATCTCTACACCTCTGCCCTTTAAATATGGAAAAAGTAACTGTACAAAAAAAAATTTTATATTTCAGTCAACTGCAGCTATCAGAACAGCAGTCTAGTGCCACACATTTGTGACACAGAAGCAAAGTATTTTTTCATGAGTGGTGGCAGGATGTATGGAAAGTGTAGTTAGCAGGGGTTCTGACTGAATAGAAACTCATACACAAGAATCAAGTACTGCTGTATTGGGAAGCACTAGGTAGGATAGAAACGGTGAACCCTTCACAACAAGTTACTTACCGACATTGGAAGAGACAGCCCGGTTCATGATATCAAGAGCTTCATTAAATTTGTCCTTGATCGATGGATGTGCTAACACCTGGTCTGAGAACATAGACTTCCAACCAAGGTACCACTTGGTGATCTCTTCATAATTGGGGCTATTACTTAGCCAGGAGCACAGCACCTGCAAAGAAATCGAAAAACACACATCAACGGGGCGGCACAAACATGGATCAATTAGTTTGATTCTAAATTTGCTTATACTAACAAGAAGGGACTGTAGATCTGTATCTGCTAAAGAAGCAGAGTCTCCATCTGATATACACGGAGCCATCACTAAGAAATGTCTGCATTTAACGTTCAAGCCATTTCTGCCATGCAATACACACTGGGCAGGAGTTGGAATTCTGAGTTTAACCAATAAAATATTTCACTGGGCAACAGCCAGAGAGCCAAGTCCCTCACAGCCGTTCACCACCACCTTATCATTGGCTTGTTCTTTAAAGCAAACAGTTCATTGGTTAGTCTCTTAACTACACACCTGCAGCCATTTGGGGAAGAAGTGTTTCTCCAGAAGTCCAACAAGGCTGGACACAGAGACCATCCCCTCCCAGTCGATCACCCAGTAAAATGCATCCATATGCTGCTGGTGAGGGTTAATAACGAGCTCATTGAGACACATCCCTGGGGAGAGAAGAGAGAAGTCAGAATAGGAACTGCTCTGCTGGCACATTGCCTGCTTTAAACTGCAGGAAGTACTTCAACCTATTCAGCTAGCAATTTAAGTGATCGAAGAGGACTTAAACCAAAGATGCTGCCTAACAGGGTTCAAACTCTTTCAACTGTTTGGATAATCTGAATAGCTACAGAAGCCATCCTTGGCTCCAAAAAGGCAAGTATGCTAAATCTCTACTGGGTGCTACTCTCTGCTAGAAGCATACATCTTAAAACAGTACACTGAGTTTTACTTTGGATGGCATCAGGGGGGCTGTGTGAGACTCTGTTCTTTGGCTTGCCTCACCGAGTTTAGGCACAATGTTTTTGACCATGAAAGCCTCCCAAGATCCTGGTGTAAACACTTCTTTCCAGGGCTGAAGGATCAGTTTGGCTGAGGAGTCACTGGGATGCCATTTCTGCAGTGCATTTGCCAACTTGTTTCGGATTGGAGAATATAATGGCTCTAAGCGAGACTGCATCAGTGGAAGCCAGGGGTGAATCCAAGAGTGGATTGGGACAGTGTCTGTCAGAGGGTTCCAGTTTTCAACCTTGAAACAAACAAAAAAGTTACTGCAATAGAAATAAATCTATCCAGTGACTCCTAAGCAGCTGAGCCCCTCTCTGCCAAATGCACACAAAATTATAATGAAAGCATCCCACTGTTAATAATGCTGCCCTGAGGCTCCAAAATGAAAAGGTTATCAAATATTCGTAACTCATGGTGGTTTGAACGTTGGTTCAGAGCGTGGCTTCTCATCTTACCTCCTTCTGTAGTTTGGGGAAGATAAGCTGATCCAGAATATTATCCAATATCCAAACAGGAATAACATGCACCCAGCTGTCCAAGAAATCTACCATTGGTCCACAGTTTCTCGGCTGCCACTGTGTTATTATGTTTCTTACATACGGCATCCACATTTCCCACATGAGCCTGGAAAAATCAAAGTCAAGATTAAGCTACAGCCTAGGTCTGGTGGAAGTGAATGTTAAACATTTAGTTTATCTTTTATAGAGGACTTCAGGGAATTAAAAAGGCTACTTTGTTTACATTTGACAGCTGGATTTTAACAGACACTTCAGCTCATTAAAGAGCATCATCTGGAAAGTGCATTTCCACCCACTCTTCTCCATCCCCAATTGACCATCATTTGAGGGTGTTGCATACAAGTACCATTGGTTTATTGGTTACCTGTGAAAAGCATCCGTTGCTAGGTCCTGCCCACTGTGCGATAACAACTGATCATTTTCTAAAAGCCTTTTCCACTTGGCTATAATTTCTGTGCCATACATACAGTCCTGAAAAGAAAAAATGAGCCAGGGCAGCGTTTACTTCTTTCATGGTTGCCCATTAGCATGTAAAGCAGTGGGGTGGTGGTAATGTGCTGAGGGAGAGAGACCTGCCTCCCCTCTGCCGACAAACAGCAAGCTGACAGGATGTGGCAGACAGTCTCCCACTAGGGTATAACCCTGGAGTGGATTTAATATAAACCAAAGATACCAGG